TGTTCATCAGTTTTTGATAAAAATGGCGTAACCCTGGTACCCCACCCTCTCTATTCACCCAATCTTGCCCCAAGTGCCTTTGTTTGTTTGTTTGTTTTTCTGAAAGAGAAAAGTACTCAAAGAAACATTTTGAAAATGTGGAAGAGGTGAAACAAAAACTGGCAGAAACATTGAAAGGTATCAAAGTTGACAACTTCAAAAACTGAGCAGTAGAAAAAGCATCTCAATAGGTGTATTAAATCAAATGGAGAGTACTTTGAGGGTGACTGAAGTTTAAACATGTAATAATAAATACACATACAATAAATAAATTCTGGATTTTTGGGGGTCTGCCCTCATATCATATACCTTATTATGATCATCTTTTTAAAGGCATATTTTAGCAAATATGCTACCTAACTACTCTTTCTATGTATACATATATATGTGATTTTAGGTGTGGTTTAAAAGTATTGTCTTCAGCAGAGATTTCTCTTAAATTTCATGTATTTCAAGTCACTGTGGTTAATTTTTAAAAATTACTTATCCAGTAATTTTTAAAAATTACTTTTACATTATTTATGTGGATTTTAGTTTATAATGATGTCAAGTCTGTACAATTGTATAATATACATAAGAATGTAGGCACAGGAACAACAGGGGACTAGAACTCATTTCCAATGGAAAGACAATGATCAGTGTTTATATAATAAAAGTAGAATCTGGGGACTTCTCAAACACTGAAGTATTAGTGATCTCATCTTCTTAGCAGTTCTGAATGAGATGGTGCATATAAATAGTTTCTCAACAACCTGTAAGCAAGTCCTAAAACCCCAAATATTTTAAAATCTCCATCATGTCAAAGTATCATGAGATTGGTATGTGTGTTTTGTTTTTGATCCAACAGAAAGACAAAGGTCATTTTGATTAGACTAGAGAAGTGAGAGATCATGTACGCAAAATAGTTTGATACAAAACATCGGAAACAATATATAAGCAAATGGGTGTCTTGAAATTACATGTTTTTTAGATCAACTCAGGGTAAAGAGTTTTCTCTCAAACTACTTCACATTTGTAGCTACTTTATGAGACATAAGTCTGATTTTATTTTTTAAATGCAATAGTCTGAGAGCATTCTTTTGTGTTTCTTCAGAAACATTTTGTTCTAAAAAAATATTTGTCACTATATTTAGACAAAAAAGGAACCTCCTCTGATCAAAATTGGAATTAGGAGGTGAGAAAGCCACCTCTCTCTTTCAGCAAAACCTTCCCTACTTCCTGCCATGGAGGCCCCAAGAATGAGATTTCTAGAACCATCTAGGAATTATACTATAAATACAAATTATCAGCTTTATTTCCAGGATTTCAGAATCTGCATCTAGTTATACATAAATAAATGTAATATATAAATTTCAGTAGTCCTGGATTCACATTTTGCAAAATTTTCCCGAAGGCTTCCATGAGCATAGACTGACCTGCAGTATGCACAGGAATTCTACTAGACATCATTTCAAATGAGTGATGGAGTATGGATAACTTAATTTTGCTTGAGGGGATAATTTCATACTCCTAAAAAATCTTAACATAAAATCATACTTAACCAAAAGATGGGCATTTAGTCAAATAAAATGAATTTGAGGACTAAGGACTTAAAATTGCTCCTCCACTTCCAGCATTAAAAATGAATAAATTGGGTCAAGTAAAGGCTTTTGTTATGAGATAAAAATAATCATAAAATTTATGGTGCTTAGGTGTGAGTCAATTTACATACTATAGAAGCACTGCCTGGGCTAAGAGACTTAATCAATTAAACTGATTGTATAGGTCATAGTTCAGGATTCTGAGATCATACAAAATTACAAATGAAGAGGAATCACTACACAACACTTCTAAATCTACAGTATCCAAAGCATATTTATTTATTTTATTATATATATTTTTTTAAGTCGGAGTTTCACTCTGTTGCCCAGACTGGAGTGCGGTGGCCACTCCTGGCCACCACAGCCTCGACCTGCTGGGCTCCGGCGATCCTTCCGCTCAGCCTTGCAAGTAGCTGGAACTACAGGCGCGCGCTACAACGCCCGCTAATTTTTTGATTTATTGTAGAGATGAGGTCTCGCCAAGTTGCCCAAGCAGGTCTCAAACCCGCGGGCTCAGGCAATCCACTCACCTCAGCCTCCCAAAGCTATGGATTACAGGCTGAGCCACCGAGACCGGCTCCAAAGCATATTTAAATTTGAACTATAAAGCTCAGATTCTAGGTGATCCAGATATCTTGATTTAATGATAAGCAAATAATTTTTTAAAAATTGTCAGCTAAGCTGTATTGATGTTTTTGCCAGCTTCCCTAATAGTTGCTAGAGAAGGAATGGACACAAGTTCATCTTGCTAGTCATTCTTTTTTAAAATCTATGCTAGATTATGGTTATTTTTTTTTTTTTCAAAATACCAAGAAAAATACTTTACTACTAGATATTCCTTCTCACTGGATAATTTAAAAGAAATGAAAACTTCATCCAACTTCAGTCTCAAAAGGAATGTACATTGTAACTGATGATATTTACATTGAATGAATTTTACTTTATCATGTCATTGCACTATAGTTTGAGAATAATATTTATTTCTACAGACCTTGGTTATAATCCTAGAAAAAAAATTACACCAGTGGTCCTAAGTTGGGACCTGCTGAGCAGGATGAAGGGAGAATACACTCACTAAGCTCAATCACTCAGTGCTACGTATGCCTGGCCTACAAGAAGTAGTGGCTTTTTCTAATTCATCTAAAGGATTGAATGAACCAGCTGCCTAGAATGATGTTGCTCTCCTGCAAACAAATAAAAAATAAATATGCAAGCCTAATTTTATATCGTGACATTCACTTCAGATGTACCAAGGCTGCTAGTCCCTTAAAGTACAGATACAAAAAAAAGTAAAATGTTATTTGGAATATCACCTTAATTAGCTGTTATCATTTCATTTTATGATAAAACTGTGCTTTTTAAGACCTTGTCTAAGACACAACCACACAATGAAAATCTTCCTGCACATTCCTATCTCACTATGACTCTTTTATACTTTTAATTGCTTCATTAAGTACATATATTGAGAGAATATTTTGAAATATGTTACTGTACTTATTTTATCCTCTTGTACTTGTTTATAAATTGTCCTTATCTTACTGAGCCAGAAGCAATTTTTGTTTCAAAGAGAGAGCAGGGATCACAGAATGTGAAGATAAATAAAGACTTGACATAAAACTTTATTTTTAAAACAAATCTTGAAAATAACTTCAGAAACAATATGCTTTAAAGCTTGACTTTAAATTTCTAGAACCAAATACCTGAGAGAGAAAAGCCTTTTCTAAATTAGCAAAGTTTCCCTTTAAGTATACAAATAAAAATTGGTAAATTGAGCTCAGATTTTACTCTAAGCTATGGAGTAGGATATATGATGCTTAAGAACTATTTATGACCCAAAGTAAAGTAAAAAAAAAAAAAAAATCAAACCTTCCTTGCCTGAAAAAGAATCCTAGGAATAAGAAAAGAGGAAGACAAGAGGAGATGTAAGCTTTGGGGCTATTCCCTTGCCCATGATGCAGTGTCATGTAGAGAACATATGGTTAATATTATCTGACTATTAAGAATTTTTATTTAAAATATATTTATTTGTGTGTTTTGTAGCCTGTAATTATAAAGTACATATTGATGCTGATTAGCAACTAATTTGTTCAACAAATAATTTTGGGGACTTATTATACACCAGACATCTGAAAACAATGCAACAAATTGGAAACAACTGTTCCTGGGATTCCTTAGGGAGTTTTCTGTCTACTGGTGGTAGTGGGCATGGGAGGAGATACGAACTGTCGCCTTACAATACATTGACATATTTCTATTTACATATTTACTACTTTTATGTGAGATTCTAGTCTTCTTTTTTCTTTATGGAAATGTAGATTATTTATGAGATGTGTTTTATTTATATAAGCCACAGAAACTTTCTGAAATTACTCTTTTTTGTGAGGTCAAAAACAAATAAAGGAAAAAATGTTTTCAATTTCAAGCATATAAAACTCCCAAATGAAAAAAAAAAAAAATAGATTAAAAACTAGGGTCATGTTAATAGTTCCAGTCTCCTTTGGGCTCCATTCAGAAAGAACTCACTCATCACCCTTTCCTTGTTTCCACTGTTCTTTATAGCACATATCATCATCTGCAATACTTTCTATTTATTGACTTACTTCCTGTCTTCCTAATGAGAGCCAGGATATTTGTTTCATTCACTGTTTATCTCCAGTGCATAGAGCAGTGTTTCTCACACAGTAGGTACTATATATATATAGATTTTTTTTTTTTGCAGTAACTTTATAATATTGGGATAAAATGAAATTAACTGGGAAATTCACTAATTGGGAACAGATTAATAAATTGCTGAATATCCTTACAACAAAATGCTTATCATGTTTTAGATGAGTAATGACATGATTCTGCAAAGCAGAAACTGTTAATGCATCTATGCAGAAAATCTGAATATTTACATGGATTCATATGTGTATAACAAACACCACAGAATAAACAGGAGGCAGGGAGCAAGGAAAGGAAGAAGGGAAGGAAAAGGGGAAGAGAGAATGGAGAAAGGGAGAGGAAAGAAAGGAAACTGAAGAAGGAAAGGGACAAGGAGGTGGAGGAGGAGGTAGAAAAGGAGAGAAGAGATTTGGGGGAATCGATCATTTGAAAAACAACATAGTAACAGTGATTTTCAAGGAGTGATGATATTAGAAATTATTTTGTTTACTTACTCATGATTTTATATAGTTTCTATGACATCATAAAAGCATTCGTTACTTTTTATTGAATATTATTTTCAATTTTGTATGAAAGAAAACACTCAGCTCTCTCACTCTAATTTAAGCATTCATCTTTACAATAGCACTAGTCTAGAATAAGGTGGAAGGGTAGGAATTTGGGAACCATTTAATAACTATTTCCTAACAGACATGTTCATAATATGTGGTCACTTACTTTGTATGATCCACTGAAGGCCTGTGGTTTTCTTCCCCATGGTGAATACTCATTCCATTACCAAGTCCCCACCTGAATGTGTTTGAATCTTGAAGTAAGTTTATGGGGATTGGCTGGTACCATTTACACAGGTTTCCTGTTTCAAAGCTGCAAATTTCCGTAACTTGTATAGGATGAAACAAAGAAAACATGAGCTAATCACAATAAATGGCAATTTCTATGTATACTATTTTCATCAGTACTTTTTTACTCTTGTTTTTGTTTTTAATTATAATGTAATTTCTAAGCATTATTTGTAAAAGTAACTTGGCAAATAGTTTGCATAATCACTAGACGATTCTCAAAGAAATCTACGTTTATTCTTTTCAAATATTCAGAGCAACTAAAATATAAGAACAAATGCATGTACTATCTGTTTTCATGAGGGGGTGAGATTATAATTAACTTCTATAGAAGCAATTTAAGCATTGCCAGTCTCTTCCAAGGCACTTACATTGCTTGCATGACCACTAATTTCTGATAGGCTGTTTTCTATTTCCCACAGTAATATTACAAAGTCCAACTTCAGCTCAGTCTCTGAAGGGTTTTGCAAATTTCAAAATAAAGTTCAAAGCAATGAGATTTACAACAACTTTTATATTGGAACTCTTTCCTTGAAAATTTTAAACATTCGTATAGTGATAGTATAGTGTATTCTAATATCACAGGAAATTACAAATCTAGTGATTTTTAAAATATATAGGTTATATGTAAAGATGTTTTCTGAATTCTCTCTCTCAATATGTTCATGCATCTGTCTATCTTAAATCCTCTACTGTTTCAATAAAAAAGATTCAATTCAGCAAGTTATTATGTATAGTATAGAAACCTGCTGTGTATTCCAGCATTTAAATGACATTAAAACTGACAACACGCCACTAACACCATTTAGAAACTTGGGTATATGAGTTAATATAAAATCTAAAAAGGAAACACTTAATTGAAAAAAAGTGTTTTTTCATTTGAGTATACCATTAATCTCTGATGTTAATATACATTAAACAATTATATTAGTCTTATGAAGAGATTTAGGATTCATTATAATCTTATTCTTCTTATCAGCAAAAAAGATAAAAATTGTGGATGTTTAGAAAACAATTAGAGGTCATAAGGTGTCAGTCAAGCAAAATGTATAGGTTCTAGAAATCTGCTATACAACATTGTATATTTTTTCAACAGTAATGTGTCATACCCTTAAAAATTTGTCAAGAGGGCAGATCTAATGTTATATATTCTAATAACAATTTTTTAAATTAGAAAATATAAAGCTGTAGTTTACAAGCAGATTTGCTATAATATTTCATTTAACAGAAAGAGAAGGAGGTAAAATCATAGTTTGTCCATAAATGAAATGATAATTCACTTATTATGTATTCAAAATGTAAAACTCCTCTGTTATTTTTAAAATAATAATTTAATAGTAGACAGTCTTTCAAGACACAAAAAATTTATCAAAATTTCCCATCAAGTTATAAATGACATTACTAAAATGACAAAGTTGAACTTAGAAGCAATTCAATATTCCCTAAAGATGCTCATTAGGTATAATTAATTGGGTTTTATGTAAACTTTTACAAACACTACAACTTATATATGATCATAAGGGGATTTTAGTGTCTACCCATGAGAAAACCTGAATACCATAACATCTTCTGTTGAATTATTTTCCATCTGTGATACATGATATAAATTTCTGGCTAGCTTGAGTTAATTATCAGTTTATCTCATTAATAATGAGTCAGCTTTAATTTTATGATTTTTTTAGTCTAGATTAGATAATTTGTGGTGTATTTGTACATTAGGAAGCATTTTTTTCCTGAATAAATATGAACCTTATTGGATTTCTTAAGTCCTAGAATTTCTGGACAAGACTGATATAAACCAAATAAAAGTTTCACTATTTTCTCTGTGTTATCTGTATGTTCTAAACCCTTAACATCATCAAAACATTTGAGAATTACTATAGTAAATTCACACCCACTCCATAAAGAGTAGAGAAAGATATTACAGTGTTTACTCCTTCTGATCTGATGTTTCATCCCTTCAGACACAGATTAATTTTTCTTCCTTCAGACTGTATCTTTGGCAGAGAAGTCCACTTTTAAATTAAATAATTTGCCTTCTACCCATTTAGAAAAAGTCATTGATTGGGCAGGTTCAAATAAATAAAAAAACAGGACATAGGGTTTAAAGGTTTCATCCGTACTAAAATTGGTTTTCTCATGAACTCTGTATATTTCATATAGTATTTTTGTTATATGTGAATTTTGGCAATGGCAAAATTTAAATGAATGAATCTAAACATTGATTATTATGATGCTTTCTGCCTAAACATGCCCTATTTGGTAATGTGAGGATTAGAGACCAACGGGGGATGGTTCTAAATGCTAGACCCAGAGTCAAGTAAACCATACTTTTAATCCAAAATAGTAATCTAAAGACACTTGCTATTGGGCTCGACAAAAAAATGCATGTTGATTCTTCTACTGCAATTTACTGTACAAATAATTCTTACATTAATAAATATATCTAACTATGAAAATTTCTAACTATAACACTAGGCTATGCTACTGAGTAGACTAATATTTTCTTATACAATTTCATAGTTGTATGTAATTTAAAAATTTAAGAATTCACCTACCACAGGATGATTCATCTGATTTGTCAGGGCAGTCATACTTAAAGTCACATTTCTGAATTTTTTCAACACAGTGACCATCAGACCTGCAGACAAATTCATTATCTGTGCAGTTGTGTGGAGGTAATGTTACAGGAACTGAAGTTTCTGGCGGAGTTGGAAGTTCTACCGGTAAACTACCTTGATAAGAAATAATACACAGGCATTATTTAGTAGGTTTTTTCTTTCTTTAAAGATTTTGCACAATGAAGTTTGTGCTAAGTATGCTTTACATTTAATATTATAAAGAATATTTGATAGTATTTGTTAACCTGCTAAGCTCCATTATGTAAGCATATAAGTTAGGGTTCTTGGTTTTAGCAATGAAAAATAACTCTGAATATCTTTGATCATAAAAACAGGTGCAGGTACAGATGGAAATTATTGAAAAGCTGTTCAGAGCTCATCAAATAAATGGGAGGCCCAAGGGCAAGGCGTGGAGGATCAGCAGGAACCAAGGGAGTTAGAGATGCTGGCATTAGAAACTAAAGTCAAGGTCTAAATAAGCCTTCCAGTGCATGAAAAAACTTTGTTCTTTCACTGCCACAATGAATCTAATATTTCCTCATCTTTATTTCACATATTTAAGATTCAAGGTTGCAAGACAGATCCAAACCAGGAGTCTTCATCTAGAAGTTTTGGTCAACTAAGATTTTGATTTCTGAAATGACTGAGGCTAGAAGACATTTATAGAAGTAGATTGATCTATACATTAACTTATTCAGTAAACATGTATTGATAACATGTGTGTGCTCTGTAATAAATCTAAAGCCAGATGTGCCATCTCTGCCATATAAATAGTTTACTGACTAGTGAACAAAGTGGTCAGATGGATCCCTCATTACAGTTCTGTGGAATAAATTTATGGCAGAAATGATAACCCCATGGAAACAAGAATGGCATCCATCCTCTCACTCCTGCATCTATAGCAAAAATCATAGACCACCATGTTTGGGAGGTACACTATACCATAGATCATAGCATGTGGTAGGTACATGTGAATGCAGGAATAAATGGTTGAATAGATTGAAAGATGGGTGAATGAATGGCAGAGTGAATAATGAATAAATGAACAAATGGAAAATTTCACAGTGTATTAAAATAACACAGAGGAAAAGTATTTACCAGATGGAAGTCAAGGAAGACTTCTTGGCAAGTTGATGCCTAAACTAACTTTTGAAGGATGATGAGTTCATCTGGCTAGCTGAAGAAGAATGCAAAGTCTTCATGGAAAATGAGGAAAAAAAAAAATGTGTGGAGAAATAGAAATATGCTGCTTTTAAAAAAATACTGTGAGAGTTTAGTATGACAATATCTTGTAATATGATTAGAATGTATTTGATTGAGCCATTAAACATGAATTGAAAACGAAAGAGTAGACAGTTATCAGGCCACGAAGAGCCAGATGAGACCAACTTCGGAGTACGAAATAAACACAATAAGCTATGGAGAAATACCAAGATACAAAATCTCTACTTCAAGAAGTAATTTTTTTGACATTAGTGTGAAGGATAGATTGAAGTGGGCTCTGACATTTAATCCTCTTTCTTTAATCCAGACAACTAATAAGCCAAAGCAGAGATGGCTTAGAGTGGAGAGCAAAGATCTGAACACCCAATATTAGATCAATGGGGATTTGAGAGCTACTGGGAATTTGGGAAAAGACCAACAGCAAGTACTTTATATTTTTGCTCAAGTTCTAAAGCAATTAAGAGCTAAGATTGAAGACTGTTGACCAAAATATTAAATTTTTATCGACAAAGCTAATACTGAAGAAAATTGTATATATCTGTAGACAAGTGGTCTTCTAAAGTGTGAAACCCATAAATAAACAGACTCTGTAAATTATAACTTGTGCAGAGAAACTTCCAGACTTCCCTGTGTAAAACTATAACAAGGAGGAGTCAATCAGATCTGCTTCCTGTTTCTAGTCATCTCTAAAAAGTGGAAATAAGCGACCAGATATGCCTGTTTAGATTCTCCTTGCAAATTCACCAATCCACTGTTGCTCTTCCTTCCCCTGGGAATGAATGAATAAGAATGAAGAAAGGCCAGGAATGTTATGCTACTAGATTTCAGCCTACATTAACAGAGAGACTAAGACCAAGAAAAAAGTGTTCTGGTGAGTTTAAAATGAGGAGCACATTGGTAAGTAGATGGTGATGCTATCCTCTGAGATCGGATACATTAGATATATAAAAGGAATCAGTTTCTAGGGAAAAGAAATATTTTAAATCCCAAAATAGAAAGTCAATGACAACTGTCCAAAAAAGCAGATCCTAGCACACATCTAAATCACTCAACAAAAATAATAACCCAATTAGAGGTTAAAGTTATCACCTACCACAGAAATCAATTCATCCAACAGTATCACAGAATTTGAAAAAGTTTTAAAAGGAGAATCATTTGATTACTTTGAATGCTGACAATTTTGACGATCTTGAGAAACAGAGTTTGAATCAAAGAAAAAAGATTCACTAAACTTGATGAAAAATCACTTTAAAATAAAGTTCAAATGAGATCATATAAGTTGCTTCTGAGGGAATTTGTTGAGAATTGCAAAACATTCAATGGTCAGGTTGATGGATATTGTATAAGTCCCAATGTAATATACAGAACAAATTCCTTTGAAAATTATCTTTCCAAAATGTTTACATACAAGTTCTTAAAAAATTATCTTCTAGTTTGATCACTAAATTTGTTGTGACATTTCAGAGCATAATTCACTTATGTAATTTTACTGAAAATACATTATGTAATTAAAATACATTAGAAAATGCATGAAAACTTTTTATTTGTGTGCCCTATATCAAAAATATCATCCAGAAAATGACATATTTTTCATAGGTTTCAATGAGTGCTTGCCTTTAACTAAAGCAGAATGGCATGTTCTTCACTCTACCACATGCTGATCCAAGCTGGCTTATTCCATATTTAGATAATAACGTTTTAGTTTAAGACAAAGACTGCAGATTTGAATCCCACAGAGATGATTGTCATTTGCACTGAGAAATATGTTCTATGCTCTAATGTAGGCAGCCATTTTGAGATGTGTTAATTTCAAGAGAGAATGAGAAAATTTGTGTTTCAAGTTCAGGGTAAATGCACATTGTTATAATAATAAAAACATTAGATGACAGTGAGAGGACCGTAATAGAGTATAACATAGATTTAGGTTAGGAGCATGCTATAACCCAATAAATATGTAATTGTCTTGTGAACAACAGCACAACCATTTTTAGTTTTCTGTCTTAAAACATAACCTGTAACTGTTTAAAGTTTCAGTTATGGGAAAAAAACTGCAAAGCTCCGGTTACAAGCTTCAACCCCTTCCCTTGTCTCACTTTCTCCTTAGCAACATCCACTCAGGTGCCAGGGGGTAATCACCTAAGTTTCCAGATGTCTCTGCAACTTCCCTAGCTAGTGGACCAAGGTCAGCCCGAGTCAGGCTAGCCAATCCTCCACGATTAAGCTGACCACCAGAGGTTACTACCCAATTAAATGGTAACACAACTGGAAAGCCCCCCCAAACTCCTCCTCCCTTTGTGTAAAAGCATAGAAGGCATCTGCTTAAGGAAACCAGAGCCTCTGAATATACTCCGCTGTGTCGGTTGTCGACAGAGGCCCAGGCTTGAGCTTGTAAATAAAGACCCTCTTGAACTTTCATCGGAATTGGCTCTTGGTGGTCGCTCGGATTGAACTTTCGGCCACTACAACAGTGCATCACAAATGGCTTCATATTTTTGCCTTGCTGTATATTATGCATATTTATGAGAATAGAGATTTACAATTAATTGTCTTGCCTTAAAACATAGAAACTTCAATAGACAACTAAATGCAAACACATATATAATGTTCTTCATAGATTGTGCTACCAAAGCAAGTATTAAAATGCTTGCTCCATAATATACTTCTAGTAACAACTACATAGGATTGAATCATTTCTGATTTTGTTGTTTTTAGAGCAGGAGATAAACCTAGTGAATTGAGTGCCACTAACTGCAAGTTTGGAAAAGTACCCTCTTGAGACAAAGGATAATTCGATTCAACTGATTCAGGATTTGTTACATATTCTCTTTTTAAAAATTGTCTTTAATTATGATTCATTTTAAACCTTCAGAGAAATTAAGAAAATAATACAACAGACACATGATTCACCACTAAGACTAAAGGAATTCTTATAGAATTGCTTCAGCTTCTTATCCTAACAAATAAAGAATGAACAGGAATAAAAAAGGAGAAAGAAAGGAAGGAGAGAGAGAAGGGGAGGAGAGGACCCATAACAAAATACCAATTTATACCAATTTGCAATTTTTCCAGGTATGTTTTCTAATTATTTTTCCTGTAGTGAATAGTGTTAAGTCTATTCACATTGTTATGCCACAGATCTTTAGAATTGTTTTATCTTAAAAAAACTGACACTCTCTATCCATTAAACACATATTCCCCTCCCTCTCTCCTCCTGCTTTTGGCAACGATATTTCCACATTTTCGTTTCTATTATTTTTGCAACTGGCCCAACTTGACCAGAGAACTGATGGGGACTAATGGCTATAATTCGCTGTTGTTGTTTTGTTTGTTTTTAAAGAAACCTAGAAATCAACTCTTCTGGTCTTAAAGCTTGAAACTTACATTTGCCTTATCTGAGTTTCTTTCTCAGAAGCCAACCCTCAGGCCTGTAGTGTCAAGGAACTGAAACTCGCCTTACTTCTTGTTTACCAACTTCTCTTTCTTACCCACCCCCCCAATCCTGTTTACCATATCCTCTTCCTTTTGCCTCCCTAATTCCTGTTTTTTACATTCCTGCTTCACCATATAAACCCCTGAATTCAGTGGGACAGGGAGATGAATTTCAGAATGAATCTCTCATTCGCCTCAGTTGGTATCCCCCCAAAATAAAGCTTTCTTCCCTGACAGCACTCGTTGTCGCAGTGATTGACTTTCTGTGCCACAAGCAAGAGGACCCCAAACAAACCCCTGGTATTTCGGTAACCTTTTGACTAGTTTAGATACTTCATATAAATCGAGTCACACAGTGTTTTGTCATTTCATGACCTATTAATTTAGTTTAGCATCAAGTCATTTAAGTTTATTCATTGGCTTAGTTAGTCCAGGCCACTATCACAAATTATCATAGATAG